TTTTTCCTATTGTGTAAGTCGAGAACCTATAAGCCACCTGAATTTTAATAACATGTTTGTTAAAATGTGATTCTCTAATTCTAAGTACATTTTTTTCTGTTTTGATGGCATATTGATTATATTCAGTTCTTATTCGGGTTCTGAGGAAAAAACACGGTAATTTCATGAAACAATCAAATGTCTGTGATTTTTCTATGATAAGTGACTTTACGAAGATTGTGTCTGGTGAGTGTCTCTTCTACGATTAAACACAATTAAGTATTTTCGATGAAATTTTGAAAATCAAATGAAAATTCTGTTTTAAACTTATAATAAAATAGATTTCAATTGATTCATTCACTGCGTACTTTGAAGCGAAGACAAGTTGTTGCACTTTGTTTGAAGTATAAGATATTTTACTGTTTCTACCTATTTCCAATGCTAGAAATTCTAAAATAAGTATGACGCAAAATAGTGATGATCAGCGACTTTGGGAGTTGTTACTTTTGAACGACTAAGTTTCGAGATCAGGAATACTTCGATCTAAATGAAGAATGTTCTCCTATTTGTTTGTGAATACATTTCAAATTATTATCTAGGATCAAAGAATCTAACATATTTATCGTTTCGTATATTTCTTGCACTTGCTAACTCTAATTGATGTATCATTACAACAATTATTTGTCGATAAGTATCAGTTACATAATATTCTGGGAATTGAATTCGACAAACTTAAACAGATTCGCTTATTTAAGTTTATTTAACGAGCTCTTTCAGTAAACAAAGTAAAGTTATTTTTGGTCTGTGCTGGTCATGTCCTATTATTGAATTGAATTGAATTTTTCTCCACAAAATTTGCTGATTGAATGATAATGTGAAACTTTAAGCTGCTTCTACAATAATAATTCATCAGAAGTATTCACATTTTAATTAAATTAGATATTATTAAGCACGTCTTTTTTGTTATACTTCCAAAGTACGATCAGACATTATCTTTAAAAAAGAAAACAAACTAGCTTTTGAGTATAAAATAATTTGATACCACTGGTTTTGTTCAAGACATTCTGTAAATTCTATTATATCCCTTGGTGAAAAATAAATGTTACATTAACGATGTTTACATGAAAATTAACAAAGTTGACTTCGACCTAAGCATATAGAATTTCCATGAAACAAATAGCTCAATTTTATTAACTAAAAAAAGAAGTAGAAAGATGGTATTTATTTTACCATAAATAATCTTATGTTTCAACTTGGTCGTTCGTTTTATATAGCAGATGCTTTTCAATCAAGATTTCATTCGTCGCAGAATATACTTCTAAAATTAAGGAAATTAATGCACAAGAACTTTTGTCAGGTTTATCACTTTTTACTAGAACGAACAAAAAGATGCTATTGCATTCTTTATTTTTCTCTAATTTAATAAAACACACTATCTATCATATATCACAAGGGTATGCTAATCCTTGCGACGTTTGTCTCCTTAATATTTCATTTTTTCTAGGATTTTCAATAAGACTGGAATCAGATAGTTCAGAACTAGAATTGTTCTCTGATTGAGTCCACTTGTGAGTTTGTACAGCTAAAATAAAAGTATATAATCTGGCGAGTAATGCATGGAATCGAGGCAATACGTTGATATCTATTTAAAACTAGTACAATCTGAGTTGAAATCGGTTCCTGGCCGAATCCTGTCAAGAAATGCTTGAGTCCCGCGATTAAAGATTTTCTACATTTTAAAATCCTATTTTTTAACGACAAATATCCAGACATAATTGCAAGATTTATTCCGTTAATAAATCGTGATGAAATTGTCAATTTTAGAACGATTGTAACCACATGAGTATTTAATCGTCATGCTTGATTGGGTTGACTGATCATGCATAAGGTGTAATATTTTTAAATATATCTGATATCTATCAGTCACTTGACGTGCAGTTGTCACGGGGTTGAATACATCTTTTGCTACACTTCGTGAAATTATATTTGAAGAAATGTATCATGAGTGACAAAAAACCACGATACCTGATGACTCAAACAATTGTACTCGCTGTGGTATTATTTTACAAATTGTATTATAGTTCTGATTCCTCGCTTAATATTTGTGTCTATCAATTATCGACAGTGAAAACATGAACGCTGAAGATATTAAATATAAATTGTAAAAAATCTACTGTATTTTCGACGAAATTAATTTTAATATTTCAAAAAGATTACGTTTTACTAAGGACATCTGTTTCGAAAGACATGATTTCAATGTTTTAACATTGGCCAATCCACCTTTATTCAAGCCAAAGATCTGTTTTTAATACTTTCATTTTCTCTGACGCATTTTATTCATTTTTCTTTTGGATTCTTTGATGTTGTTTGTGTACTTAGTTTCAAAAAGAAAAATCTACTGTTTACTCTTCTACAAGTTACCATTCAATGGAGAATATGGCGCAGTTTAATTCAATCTTCGATGTGAATTTTTATGTTAAAATCAGTGCGAAACGATCATTTTTAGTAAAAAGAAAACTTATGATTTTGACGTCCACTCTCTTCCAGCTGTTTTATCTATTTGCAAAATATCATTTTAAAATAGAAATCTATGGAGTCTCTTATCTTCATTCTTATGCTATAATTTACCCAAATACTATATCCATGTGAATAATAAAATTACAAAAGTATAGTTATTATTTTTACTGGATTATGAATTTATTACTCGATCGAAAATGGCAATTGTGCATTCGAATTAATTCATCATTTTACACAATATATATATTGTCACTTAGCAAAAACTGTTTTGAAAGATTTCATATTTACTTTTGTTATAACATGCATCTAGCAAAAAAATTGAATCTGATAATTTATGATCATATGAAATTTTATCTGTTGATTAGTGTCTTTTTTTCATTTCAGAAGACACACAATTTCTTCGTTGAAACTGCACTGAAAGTACACGTTTCGTTTGATTCACATGATGGAAACTCATAAACGACCGGTTGCATCCAACTCTGATATGAACAATAATGATATAATTCATCTAAGTAAAAAGAAATCGATACTAGATACCATGAAGAAATCTTTTAGTGTCGGTCAAATTAAAGAACTTCATATGCTCAATTTTATGTGTCATAAATATTTTTCTATTCAATTTCATCCGACACACATGCAAATAGTTACCGGTGTAAATGGCTCAGGTAACTGATCATACAATCATTAGAATGAATATGCTAGATGAATCGAATTTTAAGGAAAATCCACGATAGCAAATGCGGTATGTCTTTGTTTGGGTGCACAAGCGCGAACCACTGGACGAACTTCCAATGTTCAATCTTTTATTAGAAAAGGCGAAACGTAAATAAATCAAACACTTCTTTTATATTTTTAAATGAAAAAAGAAATATTACTAGTTTTCTCAACCATATATTTATGAGAAGAACGACAATAGAAGCGAGAGATAAACATGATGAATTTTTTCTTCAAAAAATAGTATCATTTTTTTCGTTTAAAAATTCAATTCTAAACTTGTTTCTTTGCTGTATATTCAGATCAGCTCAATTAACTATTATCTTAGCCAATGAGGGACCAGAAGCATATAAACCTGAAGTCTATGGCAAAGAAATTCAAATAATACGAAGAATCGGTTCTCGAAAATCCGGTTATAAAATTCTAGGTAAAGAAATTCGCGTCAAAGTTCTGTTTTTTATTTATAAATTCTATAACATTTTTAGGCGCTAATCATAGGATAATGAGTACACGTAAGGAAACCATTGATGAAATCATCCAAGCATTATCAATATCTCCTGAAAATCCATTATGTGTATTACATCAAGAAGTAGCAAAAACATTTCTAATAAGTAGCGATTCAACGAAAAAATACCAAGTAAAACTGATTTTTTATTAGTTGTCTATTTTTGTTTTGTTTCGAATTTGTTCTATAGTTTTATATGAAAGTATCACAATTAGATCAAATAAAACAAGCTTACGAACAAGGTGTTTGTACTGTTCGTTTACTTACTCAACGAGTTAATACTATGAAAGAGGTAGAGTATTCGTCCTGCTTGCTTTTTGTCGACTGAATACCTTTATGTTGACTTTTCTTTTGAAATAGAAACATGTCGAAATGCTTAGAAGATTAGAACCGTTAGAACAAGAGGTCAAAAAAATCGAGCTTAGACGTAATTATGAAGAAAAGCGACACCTGTTAGAAGTTGAACTGATAGCAGCTCGTGCTGATCAAGCACGGCAGGTTCGATAATTTGGAAGAAGACTAAACAGATAATGAAATATTTATTTCTTTTTTTTGTAATCTAGGAATTACTTGAGGTACATAATAACTTAGATCAAGTTCAATCAACCAAAGATGATATTGACGCTCAAACCATTGAAAATAATGTAAGACGAAGAGGAAAAAAACATTTTAACGATAATTTTGTTGCTTTTCTTTAGAATAAAATTTATGAAATAGATCAAATAGTAGCGAATTATTTAATAGAAAAAAATGATTTTGAAAAGGATACATATGGTTTAAATGAACTGTTGTCCTATTTTTCAAAACAAAAACAGAAGATTCAGCATAGTATTCATCGTCATAGACAAGATCGTGAAGATTACCGTAAAGTTTTAACAGAAATTGAACTTGAGCAAATCTACTTACAAAAACAAATGGTAAGTTTATTTATTGATGAGGTAGATAAAAAAACAACTGGTAGAAATGGACTTGTCATTTTTCTGTAGGATAAATATGAAAATCTAAATCACCAGTCCGATGATATCGATCAGCAACGTTTAGAAATTGATAGAGAAATATCCACTGAACAAGAAAAACAAATCGAATTAGATAAAATAATGATAGCGTTAAATAATGATATGCGTGCGAACAATGAAAATATACTTCAGAAACAAACGACTATGGATTTTCTCAAGGATGAATTAAAACAAAGGCAACAAAATCTCGATGAATTAATTAAAATAAATCAAGATAGAACAAAAGTTTATGGTACGTGGATGTCAGATTGTTTAAAGTCAATTCAGAATGATGAACGATTTCATAAAAAGCCTCTTGGTCCAATAGGTAAAACTTCACCAAACTATTTCTATTGTCTTAAAGTTTTCTTTTTCATAGGTAATTATGTTCATTGTATTGATTCTCATTGGTCATATGCAATTGAAAAGCATCTTGCATCTATTATGTCATCGTTTATTTGCTCCGACAATCATGATGAAGCAATTCTACTTGAAATACTGTCTTCGTATGCATTCGATTGTCGTCCACCGATCTATATACGAGCATATTCCAGTAAAGTTCATGATATATCAGGAACACTGAAACGTATCAGAGCAGTCAATCTTTTACCGATTTATGATGTACTAAAAATTGATAATATAACTGTGGAATGTGCATTAATTGATATTAAACAAATAGAAGCTACTATTTTAATCGAAAACTTAGAGCCTGTTAAAGAATTACGACAAAATAAAATACTACGTTGGGAAAGAATCGATGGAAAAGTGAAACAAGTTGTTGAAGCATGGACATTTGATGGTACAAATATCAAATTTGATAAAACATTTCGAATATATACAAATGAGAAACAACCAATTAAATATTTTTTAACAAATAATATACAATCATTATCAATGGAAGAATTAGAAGTTGATATCAAACTTTCTTATTCACAAATTGAAGATATCAACTCGTCTATGCAAGAATTAAAAGGTACTCGACAAACAATAGCTGATGCAATGAATCAAACAAATATATCGATTGCCAATAATAAAACGAAAATTAACGAACTTATGAAGGTAATTGATGACGAAAATCAGTAGTCTTCCTAGACTATAGCAACTTAGTAAGCGTAATTAGTAAAATCAGTTTTTGTAACAATATAGCATGAAATAGATTAGACGATTCAATGCTACTTATGGTTAACTTCGAATACGCGCAGAGGTTAGATGTTAGACTGGGAAAATGTCATACGAAGAGTATTCGGATTGTAGATACATACGATATAAATTCTTGTAAAATAGTTCAATCAATAATGTTTGAAAAAGACTAAATATTATGATTATCGATATATATATATATATTTTTTTTGTTAATTAAGAAACTCGATCATCTTAATGGTATAATGCCAATAATTGTGGATTGTTCTCTCAGTGATTTACAAGAAAAAGCTAAAAGTTATCTGATTACTTATACTGAAACAGTTCGTAAATATGATGAAGCAAAAGAAAAAGAAGATGAACATGTTCGACAAATTGCCGACCTAACAGAGAATTATGAAAATACAATAAAAAAAATTGATTTCAAAACTCATCAATATGATCTCCTCATAGAAAGTATAAATGCTCAACAATCGAATCGTTATGAAATTAAACAAAAACTTAAAAATTTAAAGAAAAAATCTACTGAAACCAATGCACGTATTCGTGAATGCAAAAACCTACTAAAACAATTAACTAAACAACAATCAAAAGTAAATCTTTATATTATATTTATTTATCTAAATTCTACCATTGTTTGAAGAAACCAAAAATAACAGCTATCATTACTCGATGTGTTCGTGATATTCAAAATGAACTCGATGCTATTAACAATTATATTCGAGCTAATGAAGACACGTAAATTGAATGATCTTCTAAATTGCCATTTTTTATTTTAATTGCTTTTTTAATTTTAGCTATGAAAAACGTCGAGAAATAATTAATAAATATCGAACCGAAAGAGATGCAGCAAAAGAATATAAACAAACTTATGAAAGATGTTATCAACAAATTGAAGTAGGCGAATACTAGTTTTGTTTTCAATATAATTTGTTCTTTGCTTTAAAGTATCTTAAACAATTTATAAACAAACGTCAAGAAGGTTTCCTTACAATTGCTGAACAACATCAATATTATCTTCGAATTAAATTTCAAAATTTAATGAAAACATATTATTTCGATGATTGTGATATTAAAATAGATCATAAGAAGGAACAGCTTGAATTAATTGTAAGTTTCAGTTCAATAAACTTCAAAAAATTCGTTTAAACTTTGTTCTATTTTGTATAATAGATAAAAAAAGATCAACGACATCCAGCATTGTTATCTGGTGGTGAACGATCAATATCGACATTTTGTTTTTTACTTGCACTTTGGCAATCTATTTATCAACCATTTCGATTACTTGATGAAATCGATATTTATATGGTGATAATAGAAAACTTTTTGAATTCTTTGTTCTTGTTAATTAAACTATTTTTAGGATAATGAAAAACGCAACTCATCACTTGAAATTCTTTATCAAAATTCTTTATATTATTCATCATCGCAACATATTATATTTACACCACAAGCTATTGATTTTCAATATTGGAATAAATTAAATGTGCCTGTTTTTAATATGCCGACACCGAAACGTTATAATCAAGAAATTGACTAATAAAAATTCTTCTAAGTTTTGCTTTTTTATAAATTTTTTTACCAAATTTATTTCGAGTATAAAATTTTATTTTTTCATAAAGAAATGTCATTTCATTAAATCTGTAATTCAACGTGAAGAAATCATTAAGTTATCAAAGACTAATAGATTAATCTCGTCAATAAACCTTCGCTAGGAATTAAATTTAGTGAATAGTGGGCGGTGTCCACCCGAAAACAAACAGTTGATTTCATAAAAGTAACGGGTGGCCCATAAAGAATGGTGATCTTATTATTTACTCAATATCGTTTTTGCTCTTCATTGATTTGAACTGAACATTTTCCCAGAAGATTGAGCATTCAATTCTCTACAAACTCATGTGTAAAAGATTTTTTAAAACTACAAAACGGCTAAGTACTAAAACGAAGAAAAAAGGTTAAAAAATCTTCAACTTTCAAGCTCAACATACATTAACATTTGGAGTATGTTTCGATAATTTATACGCAGGCTTAAGTTACGGGAGAAACATTTTCTGGTATTTTCAAATACGTTCTTTTCGATATCTTTGAAAAACATTTCTTTAAAAGTTTACAAGAAAGTNTCTACAAACTCATGTGTAAAAGATTTTTTAAAACTACAAAACGGCTAAGTACTAAAACGAAGAAAAAAGGTTAAAAAATCTTCAACTTTCAAGCTCAACATACATTAACATTTGGAGTATGTTCCGATAATTTATACGCAGGCCTAAGTTACGGGAGAAACATTTTCTGGTATTTTCAAATACGTTCTTTTCGATATCTTTGAAAAACATTTCTTTAAAAGTTTACAAGAAAGTCTAATGCAAACGAAACTTTGCATCACTCGAACAAGTGTACAGGGGTGTAGTCGAGTATGTTGGCTTTCAAAGAAAGAAACATCGTCAAAAAATAACACCTTTTAAGTGGATGGTATGCGTTTTAGTGCAAGCATAAAAAACATGACGTGACGATTGTGTTTTTTAGAAAAAGCGAAAAAATTGATGCAGAACTTTTTACTCATTTTGTAACGAAAAAAAAATTCGAAGACATGAATCTTGCCCAGAATCTGATGCTCTTTAACATGATAGACTGAGTTTTTTTGTAGATCCTAACATGGAAAGCAAATTTTCAAAACAAAACGGATTTAGCGCTTGAAAGTTGAAGATTTTTCGACTTTTTTTCTTCGTTTTAGTACTTAGCCGTTTTGTAGTTTAAAAGATCTTTTGCACGTGAGTTTGTAGAGAATTGAATGGTCAATCTTTTGGGAAAATGTTCAGTTCAAATCAATGAAGAGCAAAAAAGATATTGAGTAAATAATGAAACCGCCATTCTTTATGTGCCACCTGTTACTATATGATAACAAATTTTCGAGCCAGCAGCCCCTCCAAAAATTTTAACCGCCCATCCGAAAAATGAAACCTAGATAAAACACTGATCCTAGCCAGAAATCCTATGACTACAACCTACATAGCGAGACATCTTTTCTATTTTTATTTATCAATAAACATCATTGGTTACAGTACGAAGGAATCTAAACATTTTTTTTGCCTTACCTGTTTACGACATTCACATACAACATGTTTCGTACTTATTTTTTATATTTTTTCGATCTGATACGAAATCAAAGGTAGAAAACGATTATCTATGTCGGCATCAGCTTTATTGTTATTTCGCCATACGATTAAATTTCATTCCATTCGCCAATTCCATATAACAGTACGTGTACTCAACGAACGCTTCTATACGAAAAAGCATGAATGGGTACAAGTGATCAATACTAAAAATGAAGTTCGAATTGGTATCAGTGAATTTGCTCAAAATGCTCTCGGTGATGTCGTTTATTGTGAATTGCCAGCCATTGGCGCGAAATTAAAACGAGAGGAAACATTTGCGACTTTAGAATCAGTTAAAGCTGTTGCTGATTGTTTTATGCCTGTTGATGGTGAAATATCAAAAGTGAACGAAAATTTAAAAACTCAAGCTGATTTAATTAATAAAAGTCCATATAGCGATGGTTGGCTTGTACAAGCAATAGTTGATGATAAAAATAAAAATGATATGGGAAAAACATTAATGAACGAGGCGAAATACAAAGAATTCCTAGAGAAAAACAAAGACGCTGCTGATCATTGAGAATGTGTTTTGTTTTTCTTTTCGCAATAATCATTTTAAATTATTAATTTGTGATAGCATTGATTGTCATGTAGTTTTTTCCATATGTTTTGTTTTCTTTTTGGGAATTAAAGTAGATTAACGGTTTTTGGTTTTGCTTAACCTTTAGATTCTCTATAAAAATGCTAGAAGATCTCTCTGTAGAAGATGGCGGCGGCGGAGGAGGAGACTGTAAGTACGGCATTCGACCAAAAACGTATTCTCATTCAGAAATTTTTTCCATGTGTGTAGTTTCTCATCAAGTAACAACTGTAAAATCAGCTGAAAAGCCGCCATCGCCAAGAAATGAAACGAAATTATGCGGATTACAAAATCAAGGAGCTACTTGGTGAGACAGGTCTTTTTCTTCGATCAAATATAAATATAAGTTTTATTTTAATAGTTATCTAAATGTACTCATTCAAACATTGCTCTATACACCAGCGTTTCGTGGTATGTATCTTTTGATGAAAACAACAACAAGGCAACAGAAGTTGATTGGATTTCTAATTGAAATGAACTAAACACTAGGAAATTTAAGCAACCATTGTAATAGATATTCATCAAGATAAATATTTACTACGGTGACGGAGATTTTATTTTTCGAAATAGACCATGATAACTTTAATTAAAATAGAATCAAGTCATAATTCTATTCAAAAGATAGCGATGATGAAATGAAGGTCAATTTTGTATAATCTATACGAAAATGAAAACAGCATTTTCAACTGAGCATTTACAATGTTTTCAGAAATCACGCTACATATAAAGTATACGAAATAGTCGACAGCATGTTGGCATTTTCTCAAACAAATCATCGAATGAATGTTTCTTTTGATAAAGTGACATTTGAATATCGTCATCTTTTGTATTCGTATTAAATATCGAACTTATAGATAGTTCTTCGATAGAAAGTGGCATCGTAATTGGCTACAAGAAAATCGTTTGAAGCCTCGAAAAAATCGAATGAGAGTAATCGAATCTTTTCTGAGGGTCGCGTTATAACTCAGAATGGTTTATTTTCTAATATATACAAGAGCTTTTCTTCTTCATTTTATCAATCATGAAAAGAAAAAAATATATCAACTTCAGTGTTTTTATTCTGCTTTTTTTTCACAATCAAAAGCTATTAAGCACGATGCAAAGGCTAGCGCTCTAATCTTTCACGTTCGAGTACGTAACTTGAAACCTTTCTATCGAACATAGGATTATCTCAAATTTGATTTATATCGTAAACTTGTAATTTTTGAAATAAAAATCTTTTTTTTCTTTTAGAACCTCTTTTCCATCTAACTCCAAAAGATCTTAATCTTCCAGCAAATTACAATGATCAAACTTCACTATCAGCTAATGGAGGAAGTAGTTTAAAAGTAATTTTATTTATTTAGTTTGTTTGTTAGTTGATTATATCTTCTACACACAAAACGATAGGTTCGTAAAATAATTGTCGAATTACAACGTCTGTTTGCTGAAATGCTTTTACTTAATCAGCAAGCTTGTTCGTCCATTCGATTAACAGATAGTTTTGGTTGGCAATCACATGAAGTTTGTTCTTGCATCTATAGTTATATAGAAAGAAGAAAAAACGTTTTGAACACACTTTTTTAATAGGCTATTGATCATCACGATGTTCATGAACTAAATCGTTTATTATTTGACGCTATTCAAAAATCTTTACAAGGTACAAAACAATCAAACTTAATACGTTTATGCTACGAAGGATCTACAATCAATTATACACAGTGTAAAGCATGCCAGAAAATATTCAAACGATCAGTAAATATTTGCTCTTTTGCTTTTGTTATCTAGTCGTTATTTCTCAAGTACATTTTTTTTCTTTTAGGAAGATTATCAAGACCTACCATTAGTTGTACAAGATAGTCCTAATCTACAAACGTCCTTAGCGAACATATTTACCATTCGAGAACAGTTAATAGGAGATAATCAATATCGATGTTCATCATGTGCGAATAAACTATGCGATGCTGAAAAGGTTAAAAAGAAAGAAAACAAAGTAGTTTGTGTTATTCGTATTTTTTGTTTTTTTTAATTTTCAGTGGGCAAAAATAAGTAAATTGCCACCAATATTAACTTTACCATTACAACGTTTTGTTTATGATATTAAAACTGGTAGTCGACAAAAAAAAACGACACGTTACGAGTTTCCATTTGAGATTGATTTAAAAGAATTTTGTGAAGTGAGTAAAGAAGTTCGTTTTTATTTTGCTTTTCATTAAAATTTTTCAATTTCAAGGAATCAGTCATTGAAACAAATTATGAATTGTTTGCCGTTGTTATTCATCAAGGTACATGCTATTCGGGACACTATTATGGTTATATAAAAGATATCGATCATATTGGCACATGGGTTTCTCCACCACCGCCATCTTCACCGTCGGTATGAAAATATTTTAATTTTTTTTTTCTTTTTAAAACAACAAATTTAATCGATGTAATCAGTAATCTAATTATATAGTACACAGTAGGTTATACGTGTAAATCAAATGTGATTGATATTCATTCGTTTGTATATTTGACTATTTTTCGAACGAATACTTTTTTTTAATGTCATATGAGAATTGATGTACACTTATAATTACATTCTTTTTCGATTTTGTTCAATCATTCTATTTTGTTTTAGACGAAATCTGCAAATAAACAAAAGCCAACTAGCAGCCAAAATAGTAACATCTCGAATACATCACCGAATAATAATCGAAACTCAAATGAATCAGCTGATACAAAAGAGGAGACAATGAAAAAACTTGATTTAGTTAAAACATTACTATTATCTTGTGACGATTATGTTACTATTGATTATCTTCTTCAAGTATGTATTCAAATTAATTTACAAACTTGATAATCAATACTGAATTTTAGATTTATCGTAAAAATACGACAACATCATGGAATAGTACTCGTGGTGTTCATGGTTCCTTCACTAAGGTATATCTATATATTTTGTTTTCTTTGTTTAAAATTTTAACTAATAATGTTTTTCAATAGTTTCTTCGAAGTTACCCGGATGTATTTCAAGTCGATGATAAACGTGTTCGATTAGTTGAACGAAACTGTGACATGGATATAGATATGAATGAAATCGATGAGATGGATTTCGAATCATCACAAAATGAAATTCCATCAAATAATGATATTGATAATGATGAACATTGGTTTTGTTTTGATGATTCATTTGTAACATGTGTTACACGAGAGCAAATAAAAAAGCATTATGGACAAAATGATTGTGCTTATATGTTATTTTATCGACGAAAAGATCGAAATAGATCAAAAATGGATTGTTCAGATAGTATGAACAAAATATATTACTTTGATTTTGAAAACAAAGAATTTTGATTTTAGATACTCCTTATTCAATACCACAATGGTTATTTGATGAAGTTTTAGAAAAAAACAAAATTCTAGATGAAAAACGGTAGATTAATTATGAGCAATATTTGAGGCTGGTGCTTTGATTTTCTATTTTGATTTTAGTGAGGCGTATGAAAAATATAAAAATCAATTACTAGTTACACTCTATCCAAGTGAATGGTTTGAAGTTAAAGATGGCTGTCGACTTACTTTAAACAATAATGATCAAGTATTATTCCCAGATAAATATGGCGAACATATATTTGACAAGCGAACAAAAATGAATGACTTTATTTCGAAATTAGAGGTATGAGAATATTTAGTAAAGCGGAATTTTCTTTTTCATTCAAGTTTTCTTTAAACCAGCTGGCGACTATACGAAACAGTAACTTCAAAATATAGACGCAATGGTTTTACCTAATATAAACTTATCTAAAAGAATTTTCAGACACCAACTTCCATAGAAAAGCTCTTTCCTTATGTACGATTACACTAAAAAAACATCTAGAGACAATTTCTATGTGACAGCCTATCGTTGAATTAATGTTTAATCTCTTTTCGATAAGTCTTCATTTTAGCAAGATCTACATTAGTTATAAATTCAAAATACTGTGTGGTTAAAAACTTAGTACTATGTTTTCTATATAGGATGTCTATGGCATAGGAAATCATTTTTATGTTGCTAAAAAACTTCGTTCTGGTCAATTACATGTGATAAATGAATTAGTCTGCTCAAGTAGTGATAAAACCTTAGATAAAAGCGATCTATCCAATTATCATAATATTATCGTTTATACAAGTTCATCGTCATTACCAGATACTGTTCTACAAGGTGAAGAGTTTGAACCCATCATGCTTACTATAGTCTATGGTTTTCCTGATGCACATGTTCATGCAGCACGATTACAAACTATAAAGCATATATCAAAAAATACGACATTATTAGAATTAAAAGAAATTCTCTATTATGATTACTTTGGACATGATGATCCTCAGAAATTGAGACAAATTCGTATGGGTAAATTAAACTTAGAAGAAAAAAATAATCGTAAATCACGTCGAGAATATAAGGTCGATGAAGAAAAGCAAACATTAGCTCAACTACGTTTACAAGATGGAGACACATTAGGAATTGATGATAAAAATTCTTTGTAAAACAAAAACGTCGTCTTAATTTTAAGTTTGTTCGATAAGATTTTCTTTTCTAGTGTACCTAATTGGAAAAATGTATCATCGAACAGTACAAATATGGCTATAAATCAATTATCATTAACAGTTAAAAATAGTATTGATACAAATAATACAAAACCAATGACTTATAGTTGTTTAAATACAACAGTACGATTAAGAAGAAGTCTTTTTTTTAAATTCTAGTATTTTCTTTTCTTTTCTTTTCCTTTTTGTTAGTCTATTGGACATGTGAAATCGATGGCAATTCAAGCATTCAATTTATCAATAGAGTCGTGTATGTGTCGTTTACATATTGATGACCCCGATGTTGAACACATTCCTCGTAGGTGAATTGTTTGATGAGACGAAAAAACAATTTCTTTTTCCGTTCTGCTTTCTTAGTTTATGATCAGCAAACTGTTGATTCAATTGAATTTAAACAGAATAATACAAATTTATGTTTAAAATTTGGTGCACCATTAAAAGAGAATGATCTTCTTCTTTACATTCTATCTGATCGGGATCCATGTTCATTAGAACTTGTTGTTGATAAAAACATAACACTATCACATTTATGGTTGTTAATTAAACAAGAATTGAATATGGATGGTTAGCAAAATAAATTGATATTTAACTACATCTAGTTATTTTTCTATGTAGACACCGATAATGAATATCATTTGTGTGAAGTGAAACCAACACTAATTGACGATGGAATACCATTGAATGATTTTGATCAAACATTGGCTGCTAATGAACTTGCAAATGGAGCTCAATTAACAATGAGACCAGGAAGTGTTGCAAAGAAAAATCATGTTCGATTGAAAATTTCAAGGATTATTGATAAAACTTATCAACCAAATGAAGCTAGTATGAATGAAATTTATGTTCTTTCATTTTATAACAATGGCAGGCACTGTTTTCAGACGATAGGTCTTCATTTAAAAATTTTCAATAATATTGAACGAGTTAAAATCGAAGAAAAATGATCACTTAAGATATAGAAAACCTTGATAGTATTTGACAGTTCGAAACTTGTTTAGATCATATTGTGTAAATTTCTTTATTTTTCTTTTCATTTGAGTTCATACTGAACCAAAACTAGAAATGATTGAACTAGAAGAAATATTTGAGCTGCCAGTTATATCTCCATTCAATGTACTCCGTGAAAGTATTGCCAAACATATTGAATATAAAGTTCCTGTCGGTTATTCACGTGACGTTAAACCATTAGATTTTATTCGTCTTTATTCAATTGAAGACAATCGAACGGTTTCTATCGTGCACGAACCGATTCTTACTACATTAAAGTAATTTTTTTTAATTCGAAAATAATAAACAGCGCCATTCTTTTTCCTTCTACTTTCGTTTTAGACAAGCAAAAGTTCAAGATCTTGACTCATATGCATTTGAATTATTAGGTCATCCTGAGTCATTAGCAAAAAAAGATTTACTTCTTAATATAGTGTATTCAAAAGATGAGGATGAAAATTATTTTCAACATCAATTTGAAGTTCATTGGCCATTAAAAGAAAATATAACTGCTAAATATGAATATCTTGAAAACCATGTACTGACACGTTTATCATCGTTTATGAGCAATGATCTTCATTATAAAAATGTTTCAAAGCAAGCTCTAAAAGTTACTTTGGCACGTTATTTTCCTGATCGTGCACAATGGATAGTGATTGAATCAGGATCATCACCATCGTCATCAAATACAAATCAATCAGCGAGTAAAAAAAACAAAACATCAAGTCCATCAACAAAAGCATCTAAATCAAATCTTAGACTAGAACCTTATAAACTAACTGATTTAACTGTTATTGGTGTTCTTGAAGGTGAATATTTAACGGCAAATGATTTTGATACACCGTATGATCAACAGACAAGAAAAGAAATTGAACATGACAAACAACAAAACCGTCTCAATCGTGAACGTAATCGAACTGATAATAATGATCGAAGTCAAGCCAATGGTTCTAGTAGTACACGTCGAAAATCACCACAAAATACAATGCGTATTACGGTTGACGATTTTGATAGTTAATCAAAACAGCAATATGTCGTCTATTTATTGAATTGTTATATAAATATATACATATATTTTATACCTAAACAAGACTCATTCCTGAGTACATGTTGAATTTTCGTTTTTTTTTTATTATTAAAATAAAACATAAAATGTGATAAGATTTCAATAGTTCCTTTTTATTGAAGCACAGGTGCTTCGCCTAAAAAAGAATGACAATTGGGACAATAGTGATTAATTTGTTTACAAGGCGGAGCACAAATGGGAATAAAAAGAAGAGAAAACTCGAAGAAAAATTGAGCAATACCAATAAGAATAGTCAGTGGAGTAGTGGATACTTTGATCTGTGTATATGCTAATGCCTGACAATTTGGGCACACAATGCTGATTGATTTTCGTGGCCATTTACCTTCTGGCGGTCGATAAGTTTCTTGTAATTTTTCATCTTTTGATGAGGAACCTTTAATAAAAACGAAAATGTTTTTATTCATAGAGAAACAGCTGAAATCAGATATTTTTCATTTTCTATTAATTTTAGATTAAAAAAAAGTCCAGCGTATAAAATATTTCAAAGATACTTATAACATCACTATTTTTGATTATTATAATAGAATTTATTCTTAAAGTGTGAGAATCTTTTTCAATTAATAAACCAGTTCTGTCTATATGCATACGTAGATTACAAAATAATAATTAAAATTTTTAAGGTACATAATCCAGGGTTTGGCTTAACAAAAAGCTATCGATTTTTTTCTGTAACGGAATTGGAAAAGAATTACAAAAGAAACTCAGCTCTGTCTCTCTTTGTTCTATTGCAAGAATGAAATATAGTTTACCTTGAAGAGAATCATCAAGTTTTTCATTTGGTACTTCTCTATGAATAGCGTCTTGCGTTGGTTGAATAACTATAGAAGAAGAAGAAGAAGATTCAGGTTCTTCTTCTGTATTTTTTTCTTGATTTAGATTTGTATCATCCGCAAGTTTAGCTTGTGCTTGTGAATGAGGATTAGACAAAGATACATCTAATAATGTTGCTTCTACATTGACGGACATTATGTTTAGATTGATTTTGTGATCGATCTATATCCTGAAAATGATAAATAATCAATGAGAAAAAAAAAGCATGTTATATTTATTTGTCTGAATCGTACAACAGAAAAAACTATTCAAGCGAAAAATAAATTTTGGCTCATGGCCTACATTAAAAATATTGCAAGGTCATATTTTCAAACGTAAATGCATCTCTACGATCTTTCTATTAATAGAGTTTAAACGAGAAAAAGTTTGAAATCAATGGTAAAATTATTTTAATTTAAAAATACATAATATTGCATTGATTGTACGGCAAAAAAACAGAGATTCCGACGCCGGGAATCGAACCCGGGCCTCCTGCGTGAAAGGCAGAAATCCTAACCACTAGACCACGTCGGATACTATTCAGTGTTGCAATCATATACAACAACTTCCGTCTGTTCTGTGATAAGCATCCAAGAAATTTGAATCAGATGGGAAAAAAAAGACAATTCCGACGCCGGGAATCGAACCCGGGCCTCCTGCGTGAAAGGCAGAAATCCTAACCACTAGACCACGTCGGATTGATATACTACTAACGTTTATTCACTCATAAGAATCAAATGTTTTCAGCGATATACAAATGTCGAAGCAGAATTTTCATACTGGACGAGAAATAGATAGGTATCATGATGAAATCTAAAGCTATTGATGAACAATTCGTAGATTACCCATAGATTTGAAAATAGAATTGAAAAAAATTATTCAAATATATCATATATAACATTACAATCTATATGCGAGTAGTATATCCCCAAAAGAAATAAACGATCATAATTCAATGAAATATTGAGTATGGTTTTCTATATTTCATTTCTATTGACTACGTTGTAATTTTTCTGCGCAAATCATTGATCAGTGTCTAATCGATTCATATTCATTTTTTCACGTTGTCAACAGTCAGGCGCTTACTCATGATAAGTGCGTTTGGTTGACTTGTCGCTCATTATTGCTGAGCAAAATCGATGAAAAAAGGATACGGCTTTGAATGATTTTCATCATATACATATACACTACATGATGATACGATCGATAATTTAGAGTCTCATTCGTAAACTATAAACTATTCGCCAATACACATAAGAACAAATTTTAAAAGTTGTATATAGTCACTAAAACTATGCTAATAACTTCATTAGTATGCCATGCTTTATTTCTTTCATTGATTGCCATACAAAAAGGCTATAATAAGAGAAATAATCTAGATGTTTTAAGACGATGAATCAAATTTAATTTAAATAATTATAGGAAGAGCCAATCAGGAAATCTTTGCATATCAGCCTAGGCTAGATTGATATTTTCGTTCTTGTATTCTTAACTGTGTTACATTTTTTTTGTTAAGGTTAACTAAAATCATCACATGCCAGTCACCACGTTTAACCATAAATCTTCATTCATCATAATTTTCTACTTCTAGCGTTCTTTTTGCTATGCTCACATTTCACATATTGCTTATAATACTTTCATTCGAAGTACAGTCGAACATAGCAGGCTTACTATACAATTTTTTTTAACAAAAGTAAACATTTATCATGTCATAGCCAACTAAGTCATCTCTATGATTTAAAGTAATAAAAGTAAAAAAATCTTGTTCGTCTATTCTGTTCTGAAGATCAAAATTTACAATAAAAACAAAATATGACTATTTTTGTGTAATCCATCTTCGAAAGACATGCTGATCAAAATAATTTATGAATTCCGTAAAAAAAGAAGCAATAAATTAAATATGTGGTAACACAACGTCTATTACCATTACAAAGCGTTCATAAAAAACAAAAAATGGTGACGTACACATCTGAAATCAATATGAGAAAAAAAGTGATTTTGTTGTAACTAAATAAGCATTGGACTTACTCGGGCCGTGTGATATTTCACATGAAAGAATATATTATATGTGACTAAATTATTCGCAGTTTATTATAATATGATCTGCAAAATAGTAATATGTTGATGAATGCTAAAACAATAGGTTATTTGGCATTCAAAAGAATAGATTGTGACGAATGTTTTCGTATTGTAAAAAATAGATAAACAAAACTTCAAGATATTGAAAGATGCAAATGATTCGTTTTTGTAATTTTGAATGATTCTTTACTTAGAATTTCGTATGATTATTGAACAAGAAATTAAAATAGAATAGTAGAAGCAAGTGCACGTGACGATGACATATTTTATTTGAAAATTAAAGTGCGTAAGATTTACATTATTTATCTTCGTCTTTCTCTTCTGGTATCGTATGATCAATTGGAGCGAATTCAGTAGTACTAACTGATGGAATAAATTCATCGCTTGGCCCTAGAAATTTCCATTCGAAAATATCAAACAATTTTTTTTAAAATTTATTTGCATTCTTACTTTCTTCAGCTGATGGTGATATGCTTGTTGTTCCTGATCGTTTTATTGGTGGTAACGGCGGACTTGCTCGTCTTAAATCACCGACCGTTGAATTAAATGGTGTTCGAGGATTTGTTATTTGACTTGCTACTATTATATTAATCAATTTTTATCAAAGATCGAGAAAAAAATGAATCCTATTTTTTATTACCTGATAAAATAGATAGATCTGCTCTTGAAACAGGATTACCAGTTTCAATTGATTTTATGTCTCGAGCATTTGTACTAACGCCGGGTCTTGATAATGTTACGTAGGAACGTAAATTAACTGATGGTACAGTTGGATCAATGCCATGATTTGCATTAACTGATGATAATGTTGCACTAGCATGAGACATTGGCATTAATGTACGTTGGATATCAAATTCTTGTAAACGTGATATTTCACCGAATTGTACTAGTTTCTGTTTACTATCACCATTAGAACTAGTAGCAGTTAAATCAACATTTTGAGATGACATTTCACTAGCTGGTGTTGGTCTTAATACGGGAAGACTTTTATCAATCTAAAGTTTATTTATAAATGCGAAAATAATGATCTATATATATATGTATCGAATATTTAGTTTACTTGAAATAATCTCTCATCATCATCCGATGCACTTGAAGACAATCCTATTGTCATTTCTCGGCTAGTACTCTCAGTTGGTTGATCAGTCACAGATTCCGACAGTCTACTACGAAGAAGTTTTTTCTTTTTATCGCTTCCTTTTAATAATGAATCCTGTTTTCGTTTTTCATTTTCCATATATGATTGAACGGCAGTTCTGTTTTTATTGGAAATATAAACGAAAATATTTTCTATTAATGAAACTAAACGATACATACCGTCCTTGATAGGAATAAACCGGACGAACTAAAAATATACTACTTTCATGTTCAAGATCATCGAATTTTTCTGTTAACGATCGTGCTAATGCTGTGCGATGCTGACGAATACTTGATATGCGTTCACTTATTTTTCCCGAACGCTAAATCGAATAATAAATAGGAAATATTTATTTGTGTAATAGACTTACTCTTTCATAATATGATCCCATTCTTTCCATGACACTCTTTGTTTCGTTGTCGAATGTTTCACTTTGAATACGATCTTTAGAAAATATGAAAAAAATAAATAAGACATAGTTTTATTGTATTTACCTTCAAGTTCAGTTGCTTTTCGATGTTGAATATATCGTTTAACAATATTGCCAAATTGTTGAGTCGGTAAACGAACATAATCTCCCATCGTTTCGTTTATTTCCTACATCAAAAGTATATGAAGCGATTTACAAATAGGACTTCCTACAATTCTTCGAAACGGTTAAGGTAGACACACATATGAACTATAATTGGCAATACTATTTTGTTTTTTTTATCGATTGTGTTCTAGCACTTTTTATAGTGAAATAAATATCAAAACGAATGTTTCTATTGCATCACAGCTCACAATAATTGAAATATATCATGCTGATCTTGTTCTTTTACTTTTATAAAAATTCTGTTTCATAAAACAAAGAATACCTACGACAGAATGAAGGTTCTTATTAATTGTTCGAACAAGTATAATTATATTTTGCGATTAGGTATCACGCAAAAACGACTTATCACGTGATATTTACTTAAGTGGGTCAGTCCTCAAGTATGATATGCAAATTAAACTGAAATTTTACTGATGGCTAAGTCTCGTGGAGACTATTAGAAATCTATAATATATTAGTCACACGTAATATCCTTTCTAATTGATTACAATTTAAATGAGTTCTTTTATCGTGGAAGAAACGCTTGTGAAACTTGTCGAAATTTTATCGGACATTATGTATGTAGATAAGTATGTCTCATGAACTCTAGCATAACATCCAATATTGAAACCCTCAGATTCTTTCATCTTGAATTATAGTACAACATATGGGCTTTACATAAATAATATCTCAAGAAGAAAACATCTCCTTCAATAAATTTGTTTTAGTACATGCTAAAATCGGATTAGGGTTAAATTAGATATTTCCACACATCTCTTGTCAGATATGAAAATAATTCAATATAATTGTAATAGCTTGAAAAATGAAAGCGCAGAAGAACAAACATTTTCATAGGTTTCTTTTACTTTCATTAGGAACTAGATAGTCAATGATAAAATATCAACTTGGTAGAGAAATAACATTAAAGATCGTTGTTTCATTTGAAAGTGTTTTATATGATCCATGAACTTACATTAAACGTTGTTTCGGATACTTTTCCTTTGTCAACAGCTTGTTTAAGTAATTTTTCATTACGTTCAGCATCAAGACGGGTAAACATAACACTTGGTTCAACAATGCCGTCATTTTCAACTTTCGATAAACGTTTTTGAATGCGCATTAATTCACGTTGAAGATTTTGAATTAATTTTTGTTGATCGCCAATGACACGTTCGGTTTCTCTGTGAGTAAAACGTGATTTTAATATTAAATGACAACAAAAGTAAATTTTCTTACACTAATTCTTCGTTATGTTTTTTATTATTGTCATCGAGTACCTGTGATAATTGCTGATATTTATTAGTTAAATCATCAATAATCGATTCTTTTTGTTGAATAATCGACGAATGATCACTTTCGGTTGTTGAAGTTTTCATTGTCGGTATAGACTGTTCATAAACTTTTTCTGTTTGTTTTTCTTCGCTTGCATTTTTATCTACAGCCAATGCTGTCATGCATGTTTGTAAAACTTTAACTGTATCTTTGAGTACACGTTCAGAATTATCAACAAACTCATTGGTTGGATTATCATCCGATGTTGATAATTGTTTAATCATATCAAGACGATCAGCGAGTGAGATAAGTTTATTTTGTTCCAGTAAATTAATTATTGAATGACGAAATTTATAGATCGTTTCGTATATATGAAAAAATGGAACTTTAAAGTGATCCCTTTCAATCACTTCTGATTCATGAATATTTTGTCTAAAATTGCAAGAAAAAATAATTAATTGTACAATAGAAGACAAAACAGCTGATATGATTATATTTACTTTTCTGTTTCAACCATGGATACTGCTGAATTATCGAATGATGTTTGTTGTTGTTGATTATATCTTTTTACACCTAAATGCAATTATAATGAGCAATAATAGTAACGTGAGATATATATATAAAAAAAGAGGTTACGTCGTCGATTTTCTTTGTTACTAGCAAGTTCACCACGATTACTACTATCTAATGGATAGATTAATGATTGTTGCTTGACAAGACCTTAAATACATGGATTTCAAAATCATACGTAATGTGAAAATGTTAAATTATAAATTTGTATAGTAATTAAACATATAAAAATACAACTCAACAAAGTCGTATCTCGCATTCAATTGATTTTTTTTCTTTGAACGATGTAAAAATTGCATAGCCTACAGAAAATTTTACATGTAGAATTGATGTGCAAACATAGTCAGTTACATTTAAATGTTTTGTTTTACAAATAGTAACTATTTCATTTCCACTGCATATGCATGTGTCTTGAAAACAAATCAATGAGAGAACAAAAGAATTTTTTTTTCGCATTCTATTTACTATATAGGTGTAAGCAAAGAGACTTTTAAAGCTCAAATATTTTTAACGTACCTTTGCCATTTTCTAGTGGTTCAAATGGTTTTCTTTCTCTTGATGATGTTGTTGTTGGTCTTGACAATGTAATATCAGCTTGCTGTTTAAGATCGGTTAGTTCGTGTTTTTTCTCTTCTAACAATGACATGTATTTTTCACGTAATGATGTACGACTTTTAACTGACACTTGTCGAAACTTTTCTAATGCTTCAATTTCTTCATTAACAAGCTAAAGAAAACAAAATAGTATTTTAAATATAATAAATAATAACGAGAAAGCCATGTTAAACAAGAGACAAAGCCGTATGAAACAACGATTAGAGATTAACCTTAGTTAACACTTTTTCAAGTTCTTCAGCTCGTACAGGAGACCGATTCGCACCTATGGATACTCGACGTGATTGTAATGCCGATGCAAAGTATGATCGTTCACCACTAGAGAGTTTGTCATGGTCTCTATAAGCTGGATTCATAGAGTTAGTTCGTGTTAATGCACGCGATTGTCCCAACGATGAATGATCATATTGTTGTGGTGTAACTACTTTTGATAGTGGAAGAAAATCATCGTTCATAACACCACTTATACGACGTGATGAAGAATTTGAATGGTCATGTTGTGCTTGGTGAGCTTGTTCAAGAGACGATTTTTTACGTAATAACTCCTGTGTTTTACGACGTAATAATGGTGTTGGTGGTGTTGTGTGTTGTTCAACGGAATCTGTTTGTTGAGTTTGTTTCGGTGATGTCATTTTATGAAGACTAGCTGATAAACGTTGTAGTGTTTGTGTTGTTTCTTGTATAATTGATCTTGCTACATCAGCTGAATCTGGATTTGGTGATCCATGACCACCACTACCAGAAATTTTTTGCGTTTGACTTTTTGATGATGACACACGCTGATTAGTAATTTTTGTTATATGTTAGAGGTTAGTAAAAAAATGTTAATTCGGATTACCTTGTGATTTGGTGATAAACGATCATTCATTGAATCATCCATAGCAGCACTAGCATCTAGTGGAGATATAGTACCACCAGTTACATTATTAACAGCAGCAGAATGACGATGAACAAGTTCAGTTTGACGAGCAACGTCTTCTTCATCCTAGAAACAAAAAAATATTTTTAGATTATTGCTCAAATTGTAGCAAATTTTTTATAAGTTAATATGGTTAATGAGCGTTGTTTTTTTCCAATTAGAATCTATCTTACTGTTTGTAACCCCGAATAAACTAAAGTGTCTGACTATATGACATCAGTAAAACTTTTGTTGTTTCTCTCTCTCTCTCTCTCTCTATCCCGTAAGCAATCGATGTTTGAAATAAATTACCAATTTTTCTTGTTCGTTCATAAATAATTCTAAGTGATTTAATGCTTCTTCGGCTGTTTTTTGAGCTTTTATTTGTAGTTGATGAGCATGATCTACTTGTTCAGCTAATGCGTTTCGTTCCTAAAAAATATATAATCATGAGAATAATTAAATTTTTATTAATAAGAGTGAAACAATAAAAATTCATAAATACAAGACAACAATATTCTAACCTCTTGCAAAGTATTGTCTTCTGGATCAAGGCTTAGAAAGTATATAAGTCGTTCCTATTTTAAAAATTCAATATAGTTTCTTTTTTGTATACAATGAAATGAATATCACAAAAAGAAATCGAACAGTACCATGTTCCTTTTTCTTTACCTTTTCATATGTTGTTTTATGCTCCACAAACTCTTGTTTTAAAATTTGTACCGTTTCTTTGTTCGTTGATTCTTTTGTTTCGAGTTCTTTTAATAATTCTCTCACCCGAGTAATGGCCTACATAGAATGAAAAATGATTTCTTTCTCTCTCGCTCTTTTATTTGTGTGCAAACATACAAATCTTCGTAGATTGGTAAATGCTGTTGGTAAATTGTCAATAGTTACATTATTTAAATCGATACCCCGGGTCGGCTTAAATAATGAATTAAGATCAGGTGCATTGTCACTTTTATCAGCTAGTAATGACTCAAGTAATTCTTGACTACGACGATACATTTCACTTGGATCGTCGGCACCGGTTTGATTTGTTGTCTCTTTTTTTGAACGAGCTGCTTTTCGTTTTAGTTTATCCTTGATAAACAAAAGCAGACGTAATTCATTAAGATATCTAATTGCATTTAGAAATTTACATACTCGAGCTTTGGCTTTTTTTGGCTTTTAAATAATAAAAAAATAACAAATAATTTTTCATATAAAAAAAGAAATAGATTTCTTACATCTTTTGAGTCTGCTTGTGCTGGAGGAGCAACAATTGGTGCTGTTGCTCCATGCTTTGTTGCATTCTAAAATGTAGGTACTATTTATTATAGAATTCACAGGAAAAGAAAACATTTACATTTGTTGCTGTTGGTTCAGTGGTAGAAGAAGGACCTACTCCTGGCTGACCTGGTTCTCGAGCTGTTTGATTTGCAAGACTTTCTTTATCATATTTATTTTCATTCTCATCAGTGGTTTCCACTATGAAATAAGAAATGAAAAATAAATAGACATTCTAATACAAAAAAGATTTATTTACAATTCATTTTCGATGGATCATCAACATCCTAAAAAGAAAATTGAATCAATGTAAAATAATGAAGCTGTGAAGTTAGTTGGGCTTCCAATAAAAAACAAAAAGAGCTTTTGTTGATGATTTTGATGTGGAAAATAGAAATCATATTTTATAATTCAGTGCCTTTGCAAAAGTTTGCTGATATTTTATTTCTTTGGTTTCACTGAGAGATAAAAAAAAGACGTTAAGACGATTAGTAATAGCCTAGCATCATAGCTAGCTTCCATAATTGAATTCATCCATTTCAATTTCACGAATAAAATTTTTAGCGTAGATCTCAAACTATTGTATATTCAAAAATTAAAATCATAAGCAATTTTTATTAATGATGTCTCTTTTGGAGCCATGCTTGTGCTTTAGTATTTATTTTATACTATAAATTTTACAGATGATGACTATTTTTTATTTGTTGTCACATAAATTCAATTGAAGTTAGATTCGAAATCAAATCTTGTTCGAACTGAAATTCAATTATTAAGGTTCGCCATTTAGATCAGTAGAAAAACTTGGATTATTCTATATCAATATGAATGCATCCTGAGTTAGATTGTATTGAATTACAAATACGGAGAATAGAAAAGCAAAATGTGTACCGTACTCTCATATTTCACTTACTTCTGTTTCAGATTGACCTGTGCTTGTTAGAAAGCCAGTTAAACCGGGTATATCACCAAGTTGATTTTTATATCGGTGAACAACTTCTTCTAACTCATTATACTTTCGTTTGAAAAATTTCAGTTCAGCTTCACGTCTTCTAAGATCGTCTTGTAATTTTTTCTAAATGAAATTTTTAGCAGGATAATAAAAATAAATAATTTTCCTATTCATCGATTCATACTTGAGATTCTTGGCTTGATTTAACTTCAGCACGTACTCCATCAACATCTTTTTCTAGCGTTTGAATTTTTTCGTCTCGTGATATCATTTCTATTTATAAATGCAGTCCTATAGAGAACATTCGAAAAAAAGTTCTCTATTCTACCTGTATTTGTAATTTGTAATTTTGATTGAAGATCTGCTAATTGTTCTTTCGCTTCTTTGGTTACTTGTGCTAATTTACGTTTTCCTCTTTTATGAAAGAAACCACGAGAGAAAATTTAATAAAAATCAAGTAAAATCATATAAATACCTTTCAACCATGACTCTATTTAAAAAATCGGAAGTAAGAGTTAAGATATTAATTTTTTTTAAATATATAATTTACTTTGTTTGCTTTGTTCCAGTATTTTGTATTAAAAATTGAATAATTTCTTCATTGAGTTCATTAATTCTATTTCCCAATGCTTTAACGTGAAGATAACAATCTTTGACATCGAATGATTTGAGAGTAGCTTCGATTTCATCATGAGTGTCTCCTGAATTATCAACATCATTGAATTCAGCAGCACTAAAGTTTTGTCTTTGTTCAACGAAAAACTTAAAATTTGAAAATGAAAGGTTTTGTTTCAATGCCGAAAAAAATAACGGATATAAAAAAACCTGTGAAAGTTGTTGTAGTAGTTTAGCTTTTTCATCGGCTTGTTCTGTTTGTCCAACAATAAAAATCATCAAACGTTGTTTATACTACAATATGAATGGAAATAAGAGACTTGAAATAAAAATGAATTTACTCGTTGTTTAGCAAGACTATCATTTAATAGATATTCCAATTCTCGAACATCAGCTACGTGTTCAATACTATTCAATTCATCACGTGTCATTCCATGTTGAAGTAACGATGATTGAACAGAATATTCATAGTTGTATAAAGTCTAAAGAATTTTCATGAAAGATATTAAAAAGAAAAAGAATCGTGGTAGAAGTCTGTTTCGTTTTACATTATCAACACGTTTAAGAACTCTATCAAGTTCTTCTTTGGTATGATCAGCAATACGTTGCTGGCGCTCCTTTCGATTTCTTTCAACAATTTCACCACCAGGATCAGGAATTTCAGGATCACTATCATCATTCCGTATTATAGTTTCCGCTTTCAAAATTTTCTTATTGTTCGGAGGATAATATTGAACCACACCAATCTAATGCAAAAAATGCACACAAAAACAAAACATTAACTTTTGTTTTAAAATTTAATTAAAATTATATCCTACTCGATATGGTTGTTGTGTAACATCTTTCAATAGTTTAAATTTAGTCTGCTGCGTAATTGGTGGAAATTGATTTTGTCGCCGTTCCTGGAACATGTTGCTGAGCAATATTGATTATTTCATCTATCTAAAGGTTGTTATTGCCGTAAAATACGACTTTTTTCTCCCTCTCTCTCTCTCTCTCTCTCCCCATTCTTGTTCACTTTTTCTATTTTACTACCTACTCAATAGTCTGAAAAAGTAGCGACCGAGCTTTCCGTTCATAATTTAATACATTACGGGAGTGAAGAATGAGAACGGTGTGTGTTTTCTTTGGAATTTCTCCCAACTATCGACACATTCGCTTAATTCCATGTAGCTTTACGGACTACCGGCAAATAAAAACTTATTCTCGAAAAACAGCTGAATAATCATTATGATTTAACACAGTTATTTCTATAAATATGAAAGAAATCAACTTCAAATAAAAAACAAGAAAATATATATAAATTAAAAGCTTTTATTAACTCGTCATGAGATAAATCATGAATATATTATCTCGTATAGGGAATTTCTATCATAAATATTAATTGAGTCTTAATGCAAACTAAGATTTTTAGAATCTTATTTTTGATTTGTTTTCTCTTTGTCCTTACAACTTTCATACATTCTATTCATTGCGTTCTACGTGCTTGACAACTTGTATAGTCGAAAATGCATTTAATTCATAGAATCACTTTTCTTTTATTCTACATCTTATTCTCAGCTTACCTAAAATTATTTATCAACGAGGCCGCAAAACTACTCGTTTTACACCTAAAAAACAAAACAAAAATTAATATAATCAATAATAAAACTAATGTACGATGCAATATCAAAGTTGTACTCGATTTCATTCAGTCGATTGTTTTTAATACCAAAACGCACACACACACAACTCTTTTTTCTCCTTGAAAACCATTAAAAGATAGATTTCTCGTTTGTTGGCAACAAATTTTGTATACGGTATGCAATGTAAATATTCATGGATATAACATTGTTTCTCTATCATAAAGCACGTCTGCATATTCCATTTTCTCTGACAACAGAGCTTATTGGCACTTATACGGTAAATATTTTCATGCACATAGTTAAATCTTATTATTAATTTATTTCAATGCTGATTTGAAATTAGGTTTACTCAATTTAGTGCAAAAGAGAAATTTAAAAAAAAGAAATATAGATTATCTTTCAAAGTATTTGTATTGTTATTTCATTGTTTCGTACTGAGAGTAATGTCAACCATATTTTCAAACCCGTAATAAAAGCAGTGAATATAACAATTTGTTTTTTATTGGGCATTTAAATAAATCACATACTTTCTTATCAATTATCTAAGAATAACTATTTTAATGATTTTTTCAAAAACTTTCATTATGATGAACTTGTTGGTTAATGTTCTTTATTAAAACTAATTTTGTTCAATTACTTTCTAAAGAAAACAATATTCGAACATCACTTAATTATTATATGATTTGTTTTTAGCAGATTAGTTCCTTCAAAACATTTTTCGATTATAACATACGTACAGAGACATGTATTTGCTGTGTAAATATAAAAATATCGTACACGAATCCTAATTTAAATATTTGATAACTCTCACATGGAGGTCTCTAATTTGATATCAGTATGTCTTGTTCTCATGCGAAGCGTTGTTTTAAAAAAGTTTCAACTCGTCTATAAGATTTTTTCCAGGCGTAGAACAAACATATCTCACTAGAATCTCTTCCATCTAGCACCAATGCCTAAAATTCTTATTCAGTTCGAAGATTATTTGTAAGAACTAGTATTCTTTGTTGGAGAGAAACTGTAAAGAAAGAATTTCCTTCAACTATGAAAAGGATCATAATTTTAAGAATATTATATTTAAATATGATTAGATTTATTATTATGAAATGGAAATATTGATCATACTATATCAATAGATACTTGTTAGTCACCCAGTATTTTCATGATATGAACAATTAGAAATATTTACAGCGATGTATTAGATTTTCTCACAAATTTATTCGAAAATTTTGAACTATTCGTTTATTGGCAATATTAGACATCAATTGAACATAATGGTTACGGCGCAAAAGTAATATGATGATTATCGATAAAACATATTTTAGCTATTCATAAAGTTTTTTTTTATTCATATTCAAATTATTAGAGATTAGGTGCTTTTTAGAAATTGTTCGAATAGTACATAGATTGATCATTATTATTGACACATGTGAGATTATTAAAAAATAGGTAAGGAACGAATAAAATGTCTATTAGCAGGAAATGAAAACAGAATCGAACGCTTTTGATCATTGATTCAAAAAATGATTCATAAAATATTACGATTGAAACATACTCTAACTAAAATTGATATGCTTCACTTATTAATGCCATGAACGAGTACAACAATGGTTCTCTTTGGTTCGTGCACAATTTCACTGTAAAGTTTACAGTGTAAACTGCGTCATACTTCTGTTTGACTCATGTGTTTGGTTTGCTTCGTATAATTGCAAAGGTGGATGAATAATAAACAGTACTAGTGACGAAAACCTAACCATGAATAATTTCCAGGTGATTGAGTAGATGATTTGCTATTCAATGACGCTTTAGCCAAAAGAAAAACGCCCGAATATTTTATTCGTTCGGATGATCGATGCATAAATATAGTTCTGCACATCTTATTGATTTGGTGTTATATATATATATATATATTTTTTTTTTGACATCAGTTAAACAATGAAACTTGTCAAATGAGTTGGACTGCAATAAGGAAAAAACGTGAGTGTGCATCGAATTTGCTTTAAAAAGTTTGAATTTCAATAAATCAAGGCTTTTTCAAAGTAATGTGAGTATGAATCTTTCATACATCTAGGTATTTCGCTTTGATAGGATTCCTGAACTTACATCATGCATATGGGATTGGTTTTCTACCTTTTCTTATAAACCAACCTTAATTAGATAAGCAGTACACATGCTATGTAGTTTGAAACGAATCTCTCGTTGTCTGACAAAATTGTTAAGGTTTTTGATTGTGATCCGCGAGCCCGTGAATTTCTTGGCGAGAAGATACCGGAAAATGATAGAAAAATTAGAAGTGTGAATCTGCTTATTGTAGCACGAGAATATTTTTTCAATAGATAACTTCAAAAGAAATTCTGCTTTAATATTATTGTCTGTAAAGCTTAATCATATACGAGGCAGTGACATCTATAACAGAATCAATTTAATTGAGATATAAGTATATTATAGGAAAGTTCAGGTCGTTGTCTTCCTAATACAATGGAAATTTTGAAATCTAATTATTAGATGATATTAATTTGTTCATGATTTTAACGCATTCAGTAGTTTCTCCATTGTTGATTGATATACCAAGTTATCGATACATGTTCTAATAATAAACAACAGCAGGCGCTTGTTCTATAACGATATCAAGTATCAAGAATAAGGTGTAGTACTGGATATTGAGGTGAAGTTAAATGATTTTTATTTCCTATCAAGAATATCTTAGTACGGTTTTCGCAAAGTGATCACTCAGGATGACGCTTATCTCTAGAGATTCAGAATTTTTTTCTTGATTAAAGACCATTAATCACTATTACAGAAGATGTCATTTTGATTAAGTAGATTTTAATAGGTATGTGTACGAATTAATAGATACTATAGAAATGAAAAGTAGATTAGAGTGTAAAAGTAGATCATAGATGCTTTAGTATGCGAAATCAGTAGCGTTATTGTATTTGTTGAACTTCTTCAGAAGAATCAAAGAATTACTGCAGTAGCGATCAAAATATCGTTAAAACAAGTAGCCATTGCTGTACAAATTATATGCTCCATGCGTGTGCACTTTTGCTATTTCTCAAGAGAATAAAACAAATCTATTTATTACATTTCAAGTAAATAATCCATAAGGATTAGTTCCATTTGTTTTTGTCCACATAAGGCTTTGACTGATAAAATTTTAATTTTCAAATATCTAACTTATGAGCTAGATTTTCGAATAGAATAACATAGTAGCACTTGCTTGAAAGTAAAAATATGCCTCATTAGGAGTCGTTCTCTTGGAACATATTAGCATGATTTTATTACCGAGTTGAATTAGAATCACCACAGACTGAATATTGATTTTGACATTAAATAATCAAAATGGCGAGACCTTTTGTCATTTCAGTTTTATCGAGGAATATAATAATGAATAGGCAGCTTCAGAAAATCTAGAAAGATCGATGAAAAGTAGCTATATGTGAATTTATTTTTTGATCAACCGATTCGTAAAAATTGTCAAGTTAAAAAGGTAAGAGTGCTTCTGAAAATAACTCTCCTCATTAGTAAAGATTTAAAAAATTTTGAATCATTTTCAGAACGTGAAAGAATAATTGCCAATTATTGAGAGGCTGGTACTTCGTACAGATCTTTTTATTTTCATACGATCACTTGAAACAGGAAACAGAAAACTTACGCTTCATTTCGATAACAAAAAGTGCCTGAGGTGATACGTCGATGAAAGTTATTCAGTATTTTTTCTCATAAATTGCTTTTTATTTTCTTTGTAAACGGTAGTTTATCTACAATACATATGATTAATATGTTCTACGGAGAAAATGATAATAGTATAGTATGTTTTAATCACTGGATAATTAGGTACCTAATGAAATTGAAGAGCTTCTGCAGGTATACTATTTAAGTGATATATGTTAATTTTTCCAATGAAAGTAAATCAACATTTTTTGTAAGCATGTTTTTTCCAAAAAGACAACCTGACTTATTTGGAGATTTTCTTTCGTAAACTATTTTTCCTCTGAAATTCTTTCTTAAGATTATTACGAGTAATGAAGATGAATTTTTCTACTATACAATCATCATCAAACAACGCAATTCGTAAGAATAGCGCATACAAAATATTACGTAGAAAAGTAACAAAAAAAAACAAGAAATGCCTGATCGATTTTCATATACGCCACATCAACAATGGGCATAAACTGAGGTAAACGATATGCCATGAGTAAACATTCACTATCACAGAGGGTACTGAGCAGAGCATCAACCAGGCCGTGTTTTTGTAGGCCTGGCCGGTCCGTGACAGGCCTTTGCATTTCAAGCCTGCCTGTGCCTGTCAACTAATTTGGTCGGCCTGGCCTGCCTGCCTGTCATTCTCTACGGCCTGCCTGGCCTGCCTGACAAGGCCTGTCAATTTTTTTTAATGCTAATATCATTACGAGGATAGAATAGAAACATGTAATTAATGTTGAGAATGAAGAAAACCAGTTTAATTAATTTAATATGACTAGATGAAGCATTTACTTATCGAAGTTTTCATACAAAAAAGAATACATCAGAGACAGCATCGCATAACATTAAGAAAAAAGTAAAGGTTTTAACAATCGATAAGAAAGATCTTGATGATAATCGATAATACAATTTTTAGCAATAATCAATAAGAAAGATCTAAATAATAATAATAAAGAACGAATTTTTGACCACAATCAATGAACGAATTCCCTAGTCAACTCTCCCTAAATGAATCGCCAGGGAGTCCCTAGGGATTTCGTTCTTTTGCGGGGACTCCCCGGGGAGTTATCTGGTCAAAATGGATGAAATTTCTAATTACTAATAAATTCTTCTTAATTTTTTTAAATTTAAAAAACTTAAAAATTTTTTTTTTATTTTAAAAAATTTTATTAATTTTCCCCAGAGAAATCCCCGGGGAGTCGTCGGGGGAGAGTGAATTAGGGTTCTATTAATCAATAAGAAACTTGATGATAATCGATAGTAAAGATTTTAAGAATCGATAAAAAAAGATCTATATAATAATCAATAAGAAAGGTTTTAACAATAATCAGTAATATTAAAAAAGACAGATAAATGAAAACACAAAGAGCGAATGGAGAAAGGAAACGAACTATGCAATTTGAACTGAACATTATTCATCATTTGGATCAATCACAATGAACACAATACATTATTCTATACTTCATCTGATTATTAGCGCCAACTTCAATTAAAAAAATGTTTATATCGAAAATAAAATTATATATATAAAGGATAGAGACAGGCCAGGCGGCCTGGTGTTTTTAAGCCGCCTGCCTGTCTGGACGAGGGTTCGGCCTGGCCTGTCTGTGACAGGCCAGGCCTCAAGATCATGGCCTGTGCCTGTCACAGGCAGGCAGGCAGGCCTAGTGGCCTGGCTGATGCTCTGGTACTGAGGACTGTTACTTGACAAAATATTTTTTGATTTTTTGCAAGATTTCTAAAAATTTCATAGAAATTAAGTGTCAGGTGTCCTGCTATTGTCTCTAACAAAATATGATATTGAGATATCGTTAGTCAAAAATTTCAGAGATATTCTTTTTTTATTTGTTATCATATGCGTACTAAAATGTGGCATGAGAAAATAGAAGTTAAAAAAAGAATTTTAGATTTTCTAGTAAAATCTCAATCGTTTTCACACCTTAAAACAAAGCCTTACTCTATTTGAAACACTTCTATTCCGCTGGCAGTCAATCAAAAAATTAGCTAGCATGCGAAAATATACTGAATTCTATTTTAATCGAGCAAAAAATTGTTTGTGATGTTTAGCTCATCAATTACACGACCGTCAGTTGAATGACAAAGATATGATTTCTGTGTCAATTATGTAAAACTAACTAGTTTAGCGATTAGTAGAACTTAAAAAATCGAGTGTTATTTATCCAAGAGATACACCAATAGAATCCGATTCTTTTTTAATTTGAGACATACGAATAAGACAAGATATTCTAGCAAGTTTATTTAGAAAAATTTAGAACTAATAACAAGAAATATGATAACCGTTATCTAGGCACAGTATATGAAACTATTTCAACATTGCAATATGTACCAATGATTAATCTATCATTATTTCAGAAAAAAAACGAGCATTAAAGAATATAATATTCCATATCTACTAAAAATGTTCAGTTCACTCGCTGATAATATTATAAGAATGAGAATATAAAAAATCAAATGATACCCATTCGTTAAAAGATAACGTAAGGCTACACGGACGTATACGACGAGAGTGAGGGAGAACAAGTAAAGAAAATGCGTTTTTCTTTTATTCATTCTTTTCATAAATGAAATGTCCTCGCTACCTTAGCCTACTTCTTACGTATCAGTATTAATTTATTATATTCGTCATAATCGATACTATTAACACGGATCGAAGAAAAATTTTAAAATTAAAATGTTTTATTGTGTAGTATTTTTTGTTTTGTTTCACCATTGATTATTTATACTTAACACATGATAAGAAAGATAGACTGATAAAAATAAATAACTTAAATTGCTATGAATTACTTGATAAATAATCATCAGAGATAAAATTATAAAATGATTGGCGAAAAATATTATATTTGATAAACATATTTATTTCATGAAGATTTTAACCTTTGAGTTCGTCTTTTCATACGATATAATTGATTGATTTTATGAATGAAATACTAGCTATCATTATTCTGTTTAATTTAAATTTAAGAAAAAATGCTCCTCGTATGAATTTGCTTTTTCGTGTTTCTTTTCATCTATTGATTCTATAGATTACGAGTGACCTATACCACAAAACAAAAAAAGGAAACTTATCCTTGATTCCATTAATCGAATTTCTTTTGTGAATTATCTACACATCCTGATTTCAAAGTATTCATTATTTGAATAGAACAATGCTTACATTCATGCCTTTACTTAATAAAAAAATGAGATAATTAGCAGAGATTAGAATATTAATGAAATATAAAGGGAAAACTATAGTGCAGTCTGCATAGCATGTACATGTATATGTTCTTTTGATCATTCTCTATCGATTGGATCTTTTTTTAAACTTTATGCCAAGCAAGTTTAACAGAGAGACGATGACGAAGTCAATATATATATATATATATGTAAAGTTCTTAACTAAGAACAAGCTTCTTTTCTTCGGTGACGACAACACGAAACAAGAAAGAGAATGCAGAAAATAAGAATAGAATCACGTTGTAAATCTATGGTTATAATCTAAAATAGTAAGCCACTCCATTTACATGCTAGTAAACGAAATAACATTATATAGAATCAACTTTGATTGTTTTTTTATATTCTAGTTAATTTTCGAAAGATGCCTACTGAAAAAACAGTAGTTCTTGTTGATGGCGAAGCTCGACCGCGTTTGATTCCATCGACACGTTTTACGTTGGCACTACTTGTGTTTTTTGCATTTATTGTTCAATATTCTCAACGGGTGAATCTACCAATAGGTATTGTTTGTATGATTGATCGTCCGGAAAAAATTAATAGCAATTTAACATTGAATGCAAAAACAGAACTCATAAATGTTAAACTCGCAGCAAGTGCACAGTCGGCTATAATAAAACGAGGTTTTTTGCAAGAGAAAAAATTTCTTTGGTCCGAATTACAACAGCAACTTCTTCTAGGTGGATATTGGGCTGGTTATATTTTCACGCAAATACCAGGTACATAGAGAGTTTTTTTCCTCTTTACATTATGATTATTGTGTTAAATTTTATGATAAGGTGGATGGCTGGCAACCATTCTTGGTGTAAAATGGGTTTTTGCAGGTTCTCTCGGAGTTAGTTCATTGGCTACATTAGCTTTAACAGTTATGTATGTGATGGAAAATACACATTTTATTACGCTATTCGTTCTTCGAGTCATTATCGGTCTCGCCCATGGTGTACTTTTTCCAGCAACAGTTGCTCTTTGGTCCTTGTGGGCTGTGCCACAAGAACGAAGTACGCTTGCATCCGTTGGATTTGGTGGTACACATCTTGGCACATCTTTCACAATGCTTATTGGTGGATTACTATGTCGTTATTTAGATGCAGGATGGATGTATCTATTTATTGGATCGAGTCTTATTGGTTTTATATGGCTTGTATTATGGATTCTATTCACAGCAAGTTCACCACAACTTCATAAAACAATTAGTAATCACGAACGAGATTACATAGTTGGTTTAACAGGTAGCACTGGAAAGAAACGTACAATGTCATTAGCATCTATACCATGGAAACGAATTGTAAAATCAAAGCCAGTGGTTGCCTTAATTCTAACACATATTGCAAATTTGTTCGGCTTATTTTTCTTTTTAACAAATCTCGGTAAAATTTCAACTCAACTTTTACAATTCTCAGCACAACACACTGGCTACATATTATGTTTCGGATTCTTTTTGACATATTTAAGTAGTTTATTCGCAGGTAACAGAAAGAAGAAAAGAAAAATGTTCTATTTGAAAATAAATGTTTTTAGGTCTTGTAACGGATCATTTTGTTCAAACGAATAAAATAACATTAACGAATGCACGAAGATTCTTTAATTCTCTTGCATCATTTATACCTGTTTTATGCATGGCATCATTTTATTTTTGTGATGAAACACAAAAAACACTAGGTGTTATTACAATTCTCGTATTTCTTGCTAGTTCTGGTAAAATTTCATAGAGATTTTGTTTTTAAATCTATTTTTATGCACGCTTCATTCTTTTCTTAGGCCTTCCTTATGGTAGCGGTTATGTAGTCAATTTTGCGGATGTTGTTCCAGCATTTTCAGGTGTTATATTTGGTCTTGCAAATACGTTTGCATCGTTGGCTGGTTTAACTGGAAATATTGTTGCAGGAATAATTGTTAAGCAACCAGTTTTAGCACAATGGAGAAAATTATATATTATGTTTAGCGTTGTTTATTTATTTGGTGGTATTGTTTATCTTATATACGGTTCGGGTGTAGCAAGAAAATGGGCAACATTTCAAGCTGTCGACAACGATGATAACCAAAAAAAGAAATTATACGATGAAGAAGCAGTTCCTATGAACGAAAAAATATGAGCAAACAAATATAGTTTAGAAAAAAAATACTTTACTTCTTTTTCCTTTCAGAACGGCATAAACTGTTCCGTGTAAAGGAAATGGAAAATTTCTCAGATGATTAGATGACCAGTCTTAAAAATGATCTAACCCTTTTTTTCCTTTTGTTGTGTAATGTCAGTCTTTTCTACTATATATACGTAAAATAATGCAATATCAATTTTCTTCTTTCGTTTTTTTGCATCATTAATTGAAATCAACAAGAAGTTAAAGAAGACTATACAAGGACAGTATAGAAATATTTTCAATTAATCTTGTAATATTTTTTCAAGCGATTTTTATACAAATATGGCGGCATTTGATACCGCGTTTGCTATAGTAATTAACTATATTATTTTTCATGATTGATTACTTTTTGGTTATTTCTTCTTGATTAAGAAAAAATATAAATTTTTAGGATTTTATTTATTTTTTATTAGTAGCCATATCAGGCGACAGATTGCTTTAAAAATTGATCGAACGCTTTTTTGTCATGTCTAAATCTGATTCCTATCGAAACTGAAGACATTTCAGTAAAACTTTCCTAGCGATTATTAGTCGGTAAATATGATGAATTAATTCGCCAATTGTAGCAGATGCAAATACGAGCGTAGCAGTTAGATTTTAATTACATAGAATGCATGTCCGATTGGTTTGGTTAGTATAGAGAATACAACATCTCTTCATAATGTCAAATCAATCACAAAAGCTCGAAAATAGAAAATGAAAAGCACCAGATTTGAGTATTCACATTTTTATTTTTTCACAATAATCATTTTATGCATATCAAGCAAGTTGCATACTCTAAAATTATGCATCCTTGAGCATGTATTTTATTTTATAGTATTTACATATCATTAAGAGTTTTTCATACTGTTTTAATAAGTTCCGATGATGATCTAGCTGCACATAATATATTTAAAACTTCGAAATCTATTCTATATCGTTGTTTATCATAGAAACAGCAGCATAGTTTTCTGTAAAACCATATTTGATAGAACTCTTTCACATAATCATTATTCGGCATTACATATATCATATATGTAAAGATTTGTGGAGTATAGAGAAGAAAAATAAATCCAATATGTAAACGAATTAAATATCCGGATGAATATGTCAAATGAAAATCGAATAAATAAAGATATAAACCATTTGAAACCATACAGAAAATAATAAATACCGATGGAGTAAAATAGCTTTGATAGAGAATTATTTTTCTCAACGGATGTCTTTTTATCAATATTAAAAGAATACAAATTAAACATGTGAAATGAATGCAACATGGAATAATTATATAAATATAATATAAACTATTTGACCAATATTTAAATAACGGATGTCTGTATGAACAAGAATAATAACCGAATTGATCAATTGATAAAGTTCGTCCGAATATTTTATCAAGATTTAATATTGATACAATAAGAAAAAAACATATTATAATTTGTATAGATTGTTTACGTGAACGTAATTGATCAAAATTAAAAAATAAATGGCACAGATGTTCAATTACAATGGTACTACTTATCAACATACTTATATAAATTGTTATAGTCAATAGATATGGATAGCCATAACAAGCCCATAAACGAAATATATATTTATCATAATAAATAGCAATTATAACATTGGTTATTATTAATATCATTAATATTAAACTAAATATTGAATAGAAAATTAAATAAACGCCACATATTGTATATCGAATACGTTCTCGAATAAATGTCATAATTGAAAAAATATTATTGATTAAACCAATTAAAGATAAACATATAAAAGTAAAACAATAAACATAACGTAATGATGGAAGATCATAGAGAATTGCTCCGATCATTGGAAGAGTTAGCGAACCATCATGAATAATATTAGAATGTTGACTGATATAATATGTCTTCGGGCAAATACAAACACCAAACAAACATCGACTTACGTTCAGATAGGAGCTCATATGTGAACTTTGTGAAAACGGAAACAATCGAAAACTGCTAGCGATGTCTTATAAATCCAAATAAAATGCATGTTTTTCTTTCCTAATCAGCAATATTTGCATACATTTGACTTGTAAAAAAATTAATGAAGCCAACTATTTTTACTTGATTTAATGAAATTTTAATGAATCGCAATAATTTATTTTCTTCACAAAAGAACATTTATTCGAGAACATTATAGATTTTTCTCTGGGATTTTCTATCGATTACTTCTCGAAAAGAATTCATCCCAGGTTTCTTCAGATTCAAGGAAAGATAATCGAGTCTTCGGACGTTTTTGATCAATACAACAATTTTTTATTGAATTTGAACATCAGAAAAGCAGGTCTTTTTGGAAAAAAAAACGTTTCCTTCTTTAATTGAAAATTCTATTCTTCTGTTACAACAGTATTTTTATTAGCAAAACGTCTAGTTTTGTAGCATTTATTTCCTAAGCATATCTATTTGAGTTTTAGAGTAGACAACTTTGACAGAGCTATATCATTATTTGTAGATATTACGTAAGAAACAGAATTAATTGAGCATTTAAATAAAAGCATAGACAGCTAGTGTCTCAATGTATCTTTTAATTCACTAAGTGTATTTTATACTTTATCGTACCGCAATTCGTATCCATGATGCAAGGTTAAATTTATCAGAATTAAAAACTTCTTCTAGAATTTTAAGATTATTGTACGACTGCCGTTCATTTAATTAGTTCAATTTTTATGCAAGTAACAAATACTCGTCAAAGACTTCTGTGAAATAGCACGTTATATATATATTACATAGGCGGCGGAGCCCTTATGCTAGGAGGGGCTCAGATTTTGGAAAAAATACAGATTTCATCGTGATTATATGCTTAATAAGTATATGTTTGTATGTTTTTTAAAGATCTAGATGTAATATCACTAGCGACTCCTTTATGAGGTTAAAAGGATAATAACCAACGTACAGAAAATACATTTATGGTGTCGATGTGTTTTTATTTGTTATTAGAATTTGTAGCACGTCCTGTATTTTGCTTTTGAAAGATTTTGAAATGATAAACAAATAGTAAGTGTCGTAAAAAAAGATAATGTCGACACCGACATCAACAAAATAGTTTTTGTACTTACAACTTTTTTTATTTGCTTTAGTCAAGATTTAAGATTATTTTTGCTTTTTCTTATATTGATAAGGAAATAAAAATTTTGATAGTGTAGTAAAATTTTCAATTGTTCTCAAGGTCTGCAAATGCGTCAGTGAAGAAAATGCTTTGAATGAAAGTTGTGATAACGAAATTGAAAATTCTGTTTTCTCTCCTAATGTCGACTTTCTATGGTTATTATGAAAAGTGTTTTTGAGCTCCCTGCCCCTAAATTAGAAACGTTTCGCCGCGTATGATATATTATATGTGACTCGAGTGCATGATTAATTGTAAAAATTTTTTATTTTCGTCTTTATGCATCATTGCATTTTTGTACATGGATTAAAAATATATAGCTACGACCATTACTAAGTATTATTGATGTTTATCTATATAATTTTTCATTTTAGATAGCTTTGTCTATATCAAATATTAGTTTTTTTTTGTATACTTATTGAAAATAAAATTACTTAGATATGTCTTAGGGATTACCTAATGTGAATTTATATGTAGAATAAGCACACTTTCCTATTCAATCAGTATATTGCCCACAAAAATCCGAGTGTGCTGATAGGATGAAAGTGTTACTATTCTATACCTGTATGTCTATTGGTTTTACTCATGCGTCGATTTAGTGAAACAGTATTCATCAAGGTAATATTGAATATAATCATTCGATTCAATCTTAGACGTATGAAAAAAATGCAGTTATATTTTCTCTGATTTATCAAAACTTAATTTGTTATTTGACTTTTGTTTTAGTTTCATAGGAGTTTTGAAACTAAAACTATGCCATATTTAATTATGATTAATAGAACCTTGTAGTAGTCGTTTCAGCTTTTATGTTGATCTAATAATTCTTAAACTGGATCAACAATTTTCTTATCAATAGACTTTATATTTAACGAAGACTTGTAATTATCAATGATGAATATNCCAGGTCAACGAGTATAACGCAATGGTTAGTGTGGGTATTGCTGAAAAGATTCTATTCATAAATAATCATCAATGAAAGGATTGAAAATTCATGATCGTTGATCCTGAATTGAATTCATTGACAATTATATGTTTATTGTTTTAGAAATTGAATTATCTAATATAGTTTCAAAAAGTCATTTACAATAAAAACTATGAAATATCTTGAATAATTTTATTTCTTGTATGCTGGTTTTTTCCTAAAGTTTTCTTTCAAATAGATTTTTCGTTAGCAAGTGCTCAAGTTTACAATCCAATCCTCTTATAGTTGTGAAAGAAATTCTATTTTAGAGAAACTTTTCATTACATAATTTTTTCGTTATAATGCTCTGCATTATATGATCTTTTTTTTCGATTTTCGATATATAATCAGATGCAATTCGACTTCGACTAATCTTTTGTATTACTGGTATCGTATCGAAATTATCTAGCAGAAACAAAAATTTGTTTACTTCACATTTATTTCAATGAAATCAATTTTTAGCTGACTATCAAGCCGTTGATAGTACTTCAAAACAAAAATAATCCTCTAGCAGTTGACCTGGCACGTTGAGTTGCATAATATTTTTCGGATAAAACTAGAAAATATTATTCAGAAAAAGACTAAGTCTATAATGAAATTATTTTCAAAATTACTACACGAACGGAATATTCGTATTCGATCAAAATGATAAAAGAGTATAGGAAAGCAAACGATGAGCTTATGAGTATTGCTTTCGCTTTTTGTTTTATCCAAGTATCAGTACTAATTCATTCAACGCTTGTTGAGCTGTGATTCAATTATTTGTTCGTATCACTTGTAGTATTTCAAATATATATTTCAGTGGGTGCAGTCTTCTATTCTCGAACGCACACCTTCGTTCTCATTGTGTTCTTTTCATTAGAATATGTCTACCTATACAGTTACGTTT